ATTTCTAACTGAGAAGGGAACAGGATCCAAGGGTTTCCATCTGTTGATTGTGGGATCTGTGGCCAGCACTTCCTGGAACATACCTCAAGTAATGACATCCTACTCCCTGGCCTTAGACATTCCCCTTCCTTTCCCAAGGGTGAAACTCCATATTTTATGAACCCCCTGGGCACACACCTTAACCTCAGAGCCCCTCATGGGTACACACCCCTCATCTCTGTTATCCCCGTGTGTGCACACCCTGGCCTTCCAGCCATACTCATGAAGGAGGAAGATAGTGACAACAGCCAATATGTTAAGGATAGTAAGGGGCATCTCAGGGTCTCACAGTCACCCTGGTCCACAGCTCCACTGAACCTAGTACCTCAGCAAACCTCAGAAGAAGAAGTAATGCACAGGAGTGACTTCCAGAAACTAGTCATGTCTACATATCTCCTGGCATACATCTAATCTCTTAGCAACATCTATGAAGCTCCTTGCAATGCCCAACAAACCACTTCCTCTGGTGTAACTGTCTTCAGGCCCTGACTGCTGTGTACAACACACAGGGCTAGCAAAGAGCTGCCAACTTGACCCTGAACTGCACAGCAGGGGAGAAGGAGATATGGATGGTGCCAAGACTCAGCTCTCTAGGGGCAGGGAGTTTAGCTCTGAGAACCACAGCTCCTGATTTCCAAGGCAATCTGGGATAGCTGGATGAGGGTCAAATCCCCAAAATTCAATCTCCTGAGAAGCTGGCAAAATTGGACCTGCGTGTCTGATTATGGGGTCCTGACCTGAAAAAATGGCTGAGAGTTGATATAGGGTTCAGAGCAAAACAGCAGGTATTTAGAATAAAACATCTTTTCTAGCCAAGTGCAATGAGGTTCAAAGAAAAGACACCACCTTCCTGTCACTGTTTCTATGTGCAAGAATGAAGCGGAAGCCCACTGTGGGATGGGGAGATGGTATGATAAGATATGATTTTGCAAGTAAATGAAGGCTACTGGATAGAGCAAGGCCCACAAGGAATGAGCGTGGTTCCTAGTGGTTAGGGAAATGGAGATGGAGGGAGTCAGGACTCCATCAGACCCCCAGTCTTGGGTGGGTCCTGGCTTAGCCATTGACTTTTTGTGTGATTTTGCTCTAGGCAACCTGAGCCCCTGAAGTGGAGTGAGTGGAGGTGGCTGTTTTGTATGAAAGGAAGATGTTCACATGCAAAAGAAAAACACACCCACGAGCATTGGCTGGCCCCTTCCCCAGCTGGTGAAACAAACAAGTCCAGGCCCAAAATCTTGCTACAGGCTTTTCTCCCCATATTTCCATCCTTCCACATCTCTGCCCCATTCCCTTCCTACTTAGGGTCAGAGAGCAAAGGGTAAAATATAAAGGGAAGATGACCCCAGTGGGCAGAGACACCACCTGAAGGGTTAGGAGCTGAAGAGAATAATTGGGAAAGGGTGGGTCTATGGGGCCAGTGACAGCTCCCCCAGCAAGTGGGGAGAGTGGGCTTCCCCATATGAGTGAATCAACCCTGTAAATATAACTGACATTACAGAGCATGGAGTAATGTCCCACTCCATATCCCTTTCTCAGGGCTTCCCTTTGTAAAGGTGGTTGTCACATCCTACTGCTCCCAAACAAGTTGGCACCAGGGTATGGCCACACAGGTTATGAGAAAACCAGGGTCCTCAGGGAAAAGTGGAATATGGAGGAATGGAGACAAGCACTGAGCAGCAAGAAGAGTGGGGTCCAAGAGACAGAGAGGAGGTGTGGAGAGCTATAGGGCTGGGATGGTGGCATCAGGAGGCTGAGGGGGAGGGAGGAAGAATGTGAGGCAGAGGGAGGCTGGGACTCAGAGTGCAGGGGCTGGGGGCAGGGGGGGCTGGATACTGAAAGGGGGAGCTGATGGACTACAATGGCAGCTCCCCTCAGGAGCTGGGAAGAGATCATGGAGTCCCTCCTGAGTATACCTCTCAGGGTGAATCCCACTCTGTGGCCATATGTGGTGTTTGCCAGTGTGGCTCCCTTCCTCATTTCTTGGCCCCAGCTGGTGTTGGTCTCAGGTGGGAAAACCAATCTACTCTCACTCTGACTGTGGGGAGGCAGCCACATGGCAGAACTCCCCCAAGCCCAGCTTCTCTCCCCTCAGATTCCCTCTTACCTTCTTCTAACAAATAATGCCCACCTGTTTTGCTCCCCACTCAAGCTCACCCATCCTCTCCTTGGCCAGGACTAAGCCAGGAGGTTTTGATGGGAAGACAGTCTCTGCCCCCTTCAATTCTCTGAGGGGGGAAACATGGAAAAGACCCCCCACACATTTACTTCAACCTCTGATTTCTTCCCCTTCAGTCTGTCCTGTTCAAGCTCCATCCTATCTGCTCAGTAGTGGTTGATGGGAAAATACACCCTCACCATCATCCAGCTATGACTCTTGGGGAGGGATGGAGCTGGTTTTTCTTTAAACTCCTCCTGTCCCCACACCTTCCCTTCCCCTAAGCTCCTCATGCCACCCCCAATCCATCTCGCCTCTAGCTCCAGCTACCATGACCATATTGCCTCACAACACTCTCCCTTCAAACTATCCTCCCATTTCCCAATTGTCATCCCTAAAACTCCTGTAGATGTGAGGGAAATAGCTAAGCCTGTGAGTGAATCTCAAGGGCCCCTTATCTGTAGGGACTCAGGCAGGAGGTAGTGGGCTGAGGCAGCTGGAGGATGCTTTGGGGTGTAGATAATAGAAGTGCAGGGGATTAGGTTACCCACAAATAAAGGCATCCCCCTCCCCACCCTTAGCTCTTCTACAGTCCCACTTTCCCCTAAGAGCTCTGGGGAGAGACAAAGGCTTACTTCAGCCAAGTTATTGCTCTCTGTTATTAACTGTTGCTTCCTTTGAAAGAGGGTCCAAGGGACCAAAATAACTGAACTTAGGTAGTTCTTTTCATTGTGATTTTAACAGACTATCCACAACCAGTAAGACATAAAGTCAAAGCTTACCTGCCCTGCAGGAAAATTTTAGTGTGGTGGCTGAAGCACTTTATCTAGCAAACTCAATCCCATGTATTACCATCACCCATCCTTGTCTCCAAATTGTGACAATGCTTCTGATTTCTACCTCACACATTGCACGTTTTCTTTTCTCTCACCCTCTGCGCATGCTCCAGTGTGAGTCAAGTTACAGGACTCCACAGACATTGACTAGGCATGGAAAAAACTATTTATCTAGCATGTCCTTTTCAACATACTTCCACTATTAGCATCAAGAAGTATTATAGATGCAATGCTAAGACAGCAGAAGGACAAAGCACTGTGCCTTCTAATGATCCAGCTTCGCTTAGGGACAAAGCAAGAACAGTGCAAAGCTGTAGCTAACAGGGCAGACCCCAGCACCTAGGCAGCTCCTTCAGCAGGCAGATATGGAAGCAGCTGGAGAATTCTCAGGAAGGGGCAACATAGGGCTTTGTGAAGGCATCTCTGCCCTTCCAGATGCCTCCTAGGGGAATGGCTCCTGCTCTGGGGAGAGTCTCTTCTCTGCGTGGTCTGATCCTAGCAACCCTGTGAGTGGAGACAAACTGCAGATTAGAGGGGTCAACATCATGCCAGGAGCCTGAGTTCTCTACGCTGGGGTGGGCACAGTAAGCAAATGGAGTTTGGGATGAGTTTCTGGGACACTTGGAACAAAGTAACAAAGGGTCAGGGCTGGGACCCACTGGCACACACAGAACCTAGTACCTGTGAGCTGAACATTGGAATCACTCCTGATGACATGGGGACAGGGTGACCATGGACATCACTGACCCATCAGTGGCAGCACCTGGTATTTTGTAGAGAGAGACACAGACATGTGAGAGAGACAGCTCCCACAAATACTTGTGAGGTGCATTACTGTCACATTTAACCATTCATTAAGTAACCCATACACAGACCTATTTCTGAGGGCCTCATTAAATCCATCTTAAATTGCAAAGTTCTGGCCATTTTTGTAAATGTGTGGCAAAAGAGGAAATAGATTCACCTTCAAGTTGGTTTCTTTTATGGAACCTTAACCTTTCTGCAATAACCAGTGACTTAGGTGCCAGCTGCTCTTGGATAATTTTCATTAATTCCTCAAAGGTTTTGCTTGCTGTCTTTTCTAGGATAAGCAGGCTGCACAGTAAACAATACATTTTTCTTCCCATTAGACTCAGTAATGGAACTACAAGTTTCTGTGGGGCAATCTCAATTACTTCAAAAACAAACAAAAAAACCCTCTGTGTTCCAGCTACTCTATATACATAGGCCAGTCCTCCAGGGTGCTGTCATAAGCCCCAGGTGTTTCAATATAAGCAGCCATTTTGGGTTCCAACAGATTTGAAGCATTAAAAATTAAAGCAAATTCTTCTAGGTGATTTAATACATGCCCAACTCATGGGATCCTATTCTCATATCTGGTTGTTATGATTGTCCAAGGCATTCACAAATAATAGACTCCAGCCACAAAATTGGGAAAAAGGGCTGCCAAGCTATCAGGCACAGACTATAATGTAGTGTAGACATAAAGTAAAGGTATACACACAACTTTAGATTCACATGTGCCAATTCAACACATTCACATATTTCACAGTGACCGCTGCCCTCCTGGGGCCTTTGGTCTCCCAAGATTCATCAAGAATTTCCCCTCTGAATGTGGCAGGTGACTGGGGAAGCAATGACTCCAGTGGGCTGAAGAGCTGCAGCTGAGGGAATACAGACTAGAGCTGGGGGCACACACACACAGAGACCTGGGCCAGTTCCATGTCCGAGGAGCGCCTGGCCTGAATGTATTGAGGAGGGGCTCTTCTCCCCATATCACAAAGGGGAAGTGGAGGCCCAGAGGGATACAAAGTCCTGCCCATAGACGCACAGCAAGTCTGTGGCTGAGCCAGAGAGTAACCCCAGAGCCCTGAGCCCAACCCTGCTGCTTTCCCCACAGTCCCATCCTCCCCCTACAGCACTGCTGATCTGGAGCCACCAAAAATCATGAGACTGAACTCTAATTCCTGTGATTTTAATTATATATTTCCCTGCCTGCTCTCAGAGCTGTATGGGGGAAGGGAAGGAAGCCTCTGGGGAGGTTTCTTCTCAGCCATGTGGACTTGAAACAGACTCTGGATTTGAAACCAAAGCCTAGGTTTATCTAGACTCCCAGGACTCCAAGATTTGGGTCTTTACTGGAAGCAACAGATCTCCTGAGACTGGAGAAACTCCTGGGAGAGCTGGCAATGTGGCTGCCCTCTGCTGCTCTGGCTGAGTGCAGCCCATGGGGGCAGAAGCTGTGGAGGGAGCCAGGCCAGGAATGGACATTAGAACAGGTGGTGCCGTGGTCTGTGAATGATCCCTAAGAGCCTTCAGACTGCTGCACTACATTCCCACGTCTTCTGTGGTCTGGCTGTACTGACACTTTTCCAGAGGGCACAGGGGCAGGTCAGAACCTGTGCTGGAGTGCAGCACCCAGGGTGCCCCATGTCCTTGAAGTCTGAGCCCCCATGGGGGCACTCAGACCTCTCCCCATAGAGCATCTGGATGGCACACAGCTTCTGTCCTGCTCCCATTGGCAAAACCCATCCAAAGAGCCCATCTCCATCCCTGTGCCTCTTACATCCAGGGGCAGTGGAGAAGAGGTAGGGGCAGTTACACAAATGCACCAGTCCTTCTGGCTCTGCCTTACAACTCGATGTCACAGTGCTGCAGGTTATGGTGACACCATTGCTCTTCCCAAGTGCTGGCTCCATCAGGGTGTAGCAGGGTCAGGGTAAGTGATTGCTGCTGGAAAGGTGTGAGCTTGGCTAGAACTCTCCTCTCTGCCAGTCATACATGGCCTCTACTGCAATGAACACCAGGAGGAGCAGGCCCCCGGCACCCAAGCCCAGGTGGATGATGTTGTCCAGGGTGTAATCTAGGGGTGAGAGAGTAGGGAGGGGAGAGTTACTCAGCAGCTACTCCAATGGGGCAGGGAGGGGGAATGAGTACAGCTGGGACCAGAGGGGCTCCCATATCCCTCTGGCCACCCCAGAATGGGAACCCCTGGCCCCTCTGTTCCTGCATGAACCCACATGAGCTCCTACCAAACCTCCTATCCAGAACAACAACATACCCAAAAAGCATATTACTATATCCTCCATCCATGGTGGACCCCCACCCACACAGCTATTTCCCCATACAGCCAGGGGGACTTGGGGCAAAGAGAGGGGGGGCCTTGCCTTGCAGAGGTCCCCCAGGCTGTTCTCTTGGGGTCTCTGTGCAATCACCTGTTCTCCCAGGGGAATGCCCTGCAACTGCTGGACCTGGTCCATGGGTCTGTGATGCCCATTTTTCTAGTGGAGTCTGCAGGCAGTGCGCACTTCCCCAAACACTGTCCATAACCCATTCCTCAACCCTACACATTGTTTTTGGAGGGGTGGTTTGTGTGCTGCACAGAGGTCTCCCTGGCACTGACCATACTCAATGGATACTCAGAGGGGCTAATCTCTGGCAGGCCCATTAATCAAACCAAACTGACACCCAATCAAGAATGCTCTTTAGTGTATGAAATGAGTTTTCTGGGTCTCAGCCCAGCTCATACACCATCCAATATAATGTACCAGTATCTGTGTCCCACCCTTGGTCATTCCACCCTGTTCCCATGGCTGGTGGCATGTAAACTGAAGAAAGATAGAGGGGGCTGGAGGCCTGTGGCAGGACAAATGTTGGGGAGAAGGAGAAGAGCACCCCTAGGACCTATCCACATGCTCCCTGGGGCAGTTCCATGTTGAGCCAGATTGGTTCCCCCCATGGGAATAAAAGTGTCTGCCGGTGCTGAACAGGGGAAAGAAGGATGCCAGGCTGGTGTCTGCAGTCAGGGACAGTAACATAGGAGTCCCCCATCTGCCCTGCATTGGCAGCAGCTGCTGTGTCATACACTGTGCCTGCCTCCCTAGGGACAGAATACAACCCAGTGACCCAGGCTTGACTCATTTTCTCCAGGACCACAGACAGAGCAGAGCTGCCCATGGATCCTAGTTCTGCATACAGAGACTCTCTGTCAGTACTGTCTGCTGGGAAACAGGGAACAAACCATAAAGTGTGAGGATGTCTATATAAGCAACCTCTGCTTAACGCTGTTTTACTTAGTGCTATTCTGCTATAACACTCATTTGGAATTGATACCTGATTTCACTTTAGCGTTCAATGAGTTTCGTTATAACGCTTGCAGTTGCCATCTTGGGTCATTAAAAACAATTGTGGTTGCCATCTTGGGTCATCAAATACTTTCCATTTCGCTTAACACTCGTTTCGCTTAATACTCAGTTTTTCAGGAACCAATTACGAGTACTAAGTGGGGATTGCCTGTACATGGTGTAATTTCAAAGTAATTCTAGAAAGGAATAAAAGGCTCCAATTCCAGCATAAAATGTCTGATTTCTGAATAACTGGATGCTCTTTGTCACCAATTTACTGTGTTCAAAGGTGAGTGCTACTGAACTTCCCATGTCCACATGCAGGGTGAGTTATACCCAACATGATGATTTCAGTCCTGGTCTCTGTACAGACCAGGCTGCACCAGTAACAAACAAGGTCAAACTGAAGGAACAATGGTCCCCTCTAGTTTGAGCCTCTCTGGGTCTTTCTCCAGTCACCATGCACTTCCCCTTCCCCCCAGCATTTATCTTCCCACAAGCTTCCAGCCTGTCCTATCCCTCTTTAGGCACTCATTCATTCATTCATTCATCTTTATCTTTCTGGGATAGAAAGGAGTCCCGGCATCTCCCACTGCCAGGAAGCAGAGTGAAGGGATTAAAATGTTGACTTGGTGATTGAGCCCCTCCATGACTCCACACATTGCCACCAGTAAGTCTGGGGGAGATCCCAGCCTGGCAGCCCCTGAGCACTGACTACATCCATAGAGCAGCCCCATGGACCATGCCCCTGAGAAAGCCCCCTGCTCTGGACCACACCCAGGCTCTGCTCTGGAGCTATAGGAGCTCCTGCACCATCTGGATAGGAAATACCCAACTCCAGCTGTGACTTATACCCAAGTCCTCAGTGACACCGGCCCTCTGCTGGGTTCCAGAGCCTGGTTCTGAGCCTCTTCCCATCAGCATGGACGTCCCTTGAGGGCCTGGCTGTGGGTAAAGCTAGGGGAAGGAACACAGAGCCACTCACCTATCACCACCAGCTGCATGGGATAACTGTGATATGAACAGACAAATGGTTCTGATTTCTTTTGATAAAAGCACTGGTATCTCCCTCCATCTGCTTGCCGCACGCTCCTGATAAACAGCTCAGCCATGTTCCTAGCTGGCGCCATGGGTTGAAGTAGGGTCATGTTTCCATCCTTGTAGAGGAAAAACTCCACATCCTGGGGCCCACCCAGGCACTGGATGGTCACGTTTTCCCCCAAGGTGAGCTTCTTGCTTGGGCTCAGATTGAGGCTGGGTTTCGGATACTTGGGGTCTACAGTAGAAAGCAGACAGACAGTGAGGCCCCCTCTACACATTACAGGTATTGCACAAATTAGCTAGTTAATTGATCAATTACCTAGAGGCCAGTTACACATGCAACATAGCTATCACACAATAAAAGCTCCAACCAGCTATAAAGTCAGACTTCAAAAATGTGCATTAATGTTATAGCTGGTTGTTATCAGGCCTTAATTTGCACATGTAGCAGGGTTTTCCCTGCAACTGAGAGCTCCATCAGTTGACAGGGCTCCCTACCACAGGGGTGTACCATGCCCAGCAGTAAGCCCTGAGCGCTGGGGATTGACACAGCCACAATCCCCAAAACTGGGGGGTGGCTGTCATGATTGCTAGGGCTTGCAGGTGTGTGAAACCCTCCAGGCCCTGGGGATCATGGCTGCTGTGATCCTTAGGGCTCTGCCAGAGGATCACAGCAGGGTGATCCCCTGCCCCTAGGATTCAGGAAAAGTCCTAGGCTGGGAGGGGTCAGCCTGTGGTAATCCTTCAGCCCTGGGAGTGTCCTGCATCCCCAGTGCAGGGGGGATTGCTGCAGCAGCCATCTCTGGTGGGGTGTGGGGTGCCTCTGCAGCTGGGAGCCCCTCAACTGGGGCCTGTGGGGCTCCCAGCTGTGAGAACCTGATTTTTGCCAGTACAGAGAGAGCCTGGGATTGGGGTCTCCCCACACCAGCAAAAAGGTACAATGGAATCTGATGCATGATCCCACAATCACACCTCCTGCAATGCATATGTGGCATAGCAGGAAGCACAATTAAATGAATCATGTATTAGATCCCATCATGCCTTTATCTGCCTCAGACACAGACCCCAGGGCCAGGATGTCAGTGATGGAACAGAGAGAGGGGCCAGGGAAGAGATTCTCCACATACTTTTCCCAAGGACCTTGAGGTTCCCCTGAGCTTGCCCCAAAACTGACCCAGCCCCAACCTGGAACTTCCATACCTACTACCATAGGAACCTTTCATGCATCTAATGGGACTAGCTAGCCCAGCATCCCTCTAGCCTGCTCTGCTGCCAGGGACCAGACCCATGGGCCCATCTAGCCTGGTGGCACCCTTTTACCCTGCTTCAGGTCAGGCCCATAGACCCACCCAGCACACTGACCTGTTCACAAAGGGGCCAGAAGTTGCTGTTCCAAGGGCAGGTACACAACATCTCACACAGTCTGGCCAGTGGGACAGGGCTGTGCTCTTTGTTTACAGACAGACCTGAATTGTCAGCACAGCTCAGGAGTGGCAAAACTGGAGGTGTAGAAGGGCACAGCAGGGGAGAGCAGCTCAACACTCCCAGTCCATGTCTGGTTCCTGGTGGGATGTGGAGTCTGGCTGATTAGGGCACAGGGAGGGTTGGAACCAATTGCACAGGGAAACTGAGGCACAACATGGTTATATGACTTCCCAGGATTATCCCTGGAGTCTATGCTGGAGTCAGGAAGTAAATCATTGTGCTGGGTTCTGCTCTAGTCTCTGACCACCAGAACTGGGCTGTACCTGGGAAGCCCCTCTGTGCTGTGCTGGAAAATCAACAGGGGTTGCTCTTCTCCCCTGGCTGGGGAACTTCCCACTGCCTCCATCCCTGCCCCTCAGCTGCACGGCCCCTCAGCTGTGTCCCAGGGCTCAGAACAAAGCCTGGCTCTGAGCATTGGCCCACCAGTGCAATGACCTCTGTGGGCCTGGCTGGTGTGAGGTTGGGAGTGGGGATGCCAAGCCAGGTCCCTCACCTGCTACAAGGATCTTCAAGTGCTCACTTCCAACAAAGGTTCCTTTGTTGTTAGGCCAGTATTGACAGCTGTAGTTCCCTCCATCCTGCCGGTCAGCATTGCTGAAGTTGAATTGATTCTTATTCCTAAGAAGTTGCAGCTCCCGGAAGGGGATATCATTTTTCAACAGCTGTATACTCTTTCCTGGGCACTGACAGTCACACTGGATGGTGGCGTTTCCTCCCAGGGTTATCACCCTGCTGGGTCTCACAGAGATTAAGACTTTGAGTAATGGGGACTCTGCATCACAAAGAAACAAGAGTCAGATGGGGAAGACACAGCCCCAGCCCCATTTAACTTCTAACCCATTCCTTAGCTCCCAGATGAGCACTGAGCAGAGAAAACAAGCCTACCCCTGGGACTACAGGGAACCCAGGCACCAGATCCTGTTCTCAACTCCTGTGGGGTCAGTTCATGGGTCAAAATTCAGGGTTTGGGTGAACTTTTTTCTCTTCTCCCCTCCTCAAAGCCTGCCCTCCCCCAGTACACCCTGATGATACTCACGTCTCAACACTCCACCCTCCCTGGCCAGCCAGAAGCCTGGAAAGAAGACAGCTTGTTAGTAACTAGAGCAAACAATTCCCCTTCTCATCTGTATCCCCAGATCCCTGATGCTGCTGCATGGATACTGTTCTAAGTGGTATGGGAACACAATTCAAGGACTCCTGCCAGGGAACTGTGAAGTCTGAGCCCAGCACTGCCTGGAACAGCCCTCCAACAATGAGGTCCCACACCCTGACCTGACATCTTCAACCTCTTTCCACACAGTAAGCATCCTCATTTCAGATCCTTCCACACGCAAAACCCTAGTCTTAGACCCCACCATAGGCATGCAGTCTAGTCTCAGAACCCTCACAGATACATACCCTGGTGTCAGATCCCCATGGGCACATGCTGTGTCCTTATCCCATACTCACCAAGGAAGAGGCTGGTGAGAGCAGACATGCTGAGGGCAGTGAGGGCCACTCAGGCTCTCTATCTAACCCAGGTCAGCAGTCCCACTGAGCCTGATGACCCAGGAAACCACAAAAAAGGAAGTGAGACTGGGGAGGGACTTCTTGGAACCAACAATGTCTTTATCTGTCCTTGAGTACATCCAATCTCTAAGCAACATCCACTGAGGCCTCTGCCATATCCAGGAAACCACATGCCATATCTCATCTGCCTGCAGGCCCTGGCTTCATTGTGCACCATCCATGGTTGACAATGCCCTCCCAGCCCAACCCTGAGCTGCAGCAGGGGAGGAGATACATAGGCAAGACCCTCCACCAAGGCCAGGAAGTTTAGCTTTGGGAAACATACTGTTGCTTTAATAAGCTCCTGATTTCGCACTTCAGGATCTGTAGATGAGGATTTAATGCCAGGTATTTAATTCCCACAGGTCTGGCAAAATTGGACTTACTGCATCTAGTTCTGTTGTCTGCATTATGAAAAGAGTCTGAGGAATTAAACAAGGTCCAGAGCAGAGCAGCAGGAGAGTGCTAGGAAACACTTACAGCCCCTATTCTATCAAGGGCAGTGATATCTGAAAAAGAGACATCACCTTACAGTTCCGCCAGGATTTCTGTTCGTGTGAATTAATTGGAAACTCACCCTTGAAGCCCCGCTCCCAGCTGTTGTCTGCATTATGAAAAGAGTCTGAGGAATTAAACAAGGTCCAGAGCAGAGCAGCAGGAGAGTGCTAGGAAACACTTACAGCCCCTATTCTATCAAGGGCAGTGATATCTGAAAAAGAGACATCACCTTACAGTTCCGCCAGGATTTCTGTTCGTGTGAATTAATTGGAAACTCACCCTTGAAGCCCCGCTCCCAGTACCACCACTGCCCGCCCTGCCCCCTCACCCATATTAATTCAACTTACATTAAAAATGATATTCTTTAGGGAAAAAACATTTCCTATGAGCCCATAATAACTGTAAGAACATTAAATACCATTCTACTCTTCAGAATTACAGCTAGAGGTTACTTAATTACCATTGAGCCCATGTGCCCCACTGGTTCACATTGCATACTGAAGAAATAATTTGTGATACCTCTTTTTGGGATACCATTTACTCCCTTTGTACCACTCATGCAAGAGATGGGATGGGACAGTTTAGATGCAAGAGACCAGAAGCAGGGTTCCATCCATTCATCTTCCAGTAGCTCCCAGGGGAAAAGAGTACTGATGCAAAGTCTTCTCCTGCATGTAGGCTGCTTAAGACTTATTCCCTATTACTCCTCTGTACATTCACACAAGGTCAGGAAACAATTAAGACCCAACACTTCAATGGCATATAGATGGTGACCGGGGCTGGCTAGAGCATGAAGGTGCTAAAGTGTCTAGCCTTGCACTGTAGCATCCTCATTCCCCAGCAAGTGCCCCCCCCCCCCCCCCCCCCCCCCCCCCCCCCCAGCGCCCCCACCAGAAAGAAGCTGGAGCAGCTCCAGCCCCAGCAGGCAGCCCACCCTCACCCTGCGCACAGATCCGGGGAGCACATGCCCCCCACGTCTCCTCTGGGGGTGCGCACAGTGGCAGCAGCTGCCCCCCGTGCCCCCCAGATGAGCCACTGGCTCCATCCCGCACCCCACCCTGTCCCAGCTGGGCAGTGCCTGCCCCAGCCCCACTTCCTCCCTCACTGCAGGGGCCTTGATCTGCACCCCCATGTCCCTTCCTCCCCAACAGACTTACCAGCTAGATGCTACTCTCCATGCTGCCAGGCTGTGGATCAGCAATTGGATCAATATTGGTGGTTATGGCTGGTCAATAATTGGCCACCAGTGTCAGCCCAGAAACTCTTTATCGGTGCACCCCTACTGCAGAGAAGCTCTATGGGAGGGATCTTCCAACTAGGGAGAAAGGGCCTGTTCTACCAGGGCAGCTCCAGTTGCTGATCTCCCCATCTGGGCAGCTGTGAATGACTCTCTCCTTCCCTTCTCTGAAGCTACAAGTCCCACATTGTTCAGAGTTCTTCCTCCAGCAAACAATGATTCCCCACTCTACCTCTGCTCAGCAGGATTTTGGTGGGAAAATGGCCCCCTATCATCCATCTCTGACTCTTGGAGAGGGAGTCTGTTTCTCCTGAAACTACTGTACCCACACTGACCTTTCCCCTGAGCTCCTCATGTCATCACCCAAAGCATCTCCCCTCAGACTCCATTTCCCATAACAATACTCCCTGACACCTCTCTCTCCTCAGACTACCACCCATTCCTAGACTGACTCCCTTCCAACTCCAGCAGTTGTAAAAAAATAGACAAGCTTGAGGGGCCCTTTTCTGGGGGAGGTTAGGCAGGGGGTAGTAAGTTGAATGCAGGAAAGGATCTGGATTCGGGTGTCAGAAGCAGACTAGCTAAATTCACAGACGACACCAAATTATGGGGAAGTGCAGTTACACTAGAGGACAGGCTGGTGATTCAGGCCAACCTGGACAGGCTCACAAGGTGGGCAGATCAAAACCTGATGACATTCAACACAGAGAAATGCAAGGTGATCCACCTAAGGAGACCCACATCATATTTATAGGATTGGTTGTGCTACACTCACTAGAACTATGACCGAAAGAGACTTGAGGATCATGACTGATCACAAGATGACTATATGCCACCAACATGATGCTGCAGCTGGCAAAGCAAGTAAAACTCTGGCTTGCATTTACTGATGCATCTCAAGTAAGACCCAAAAAATCATCCTCCCACTTTACTCGGCTTTGGTGAGGCTGCAGCTGGAGTACTGCATCCAATTCTGGACTCTACACTTTAGAAAGAACATGGAGAAGCTTAAGAGAGTCCAGAGGAGAGCCACATGCATGATTAGAGGTCAAGAGAACAGGCCTTATGAGGACAGGCTGAGAGGCATGGGACTCTTCAGCTTGGAGAGGCAAAGGCTCAGGGGTGACTTGGTGGCAGCTTATAAGTACATAAGGAGTGTGCATCAGGAACTGGGAGAATATCTGTTCACCAGGGCACCCCATGGGAAGACATGATCTAATGGTCACAAACTTCTGGAAGACCATTTTAGACTATAAGGAAAAACTTCTTTACTGTCCAAGTCTCTAGAGTCTAAAATAGACTCTCCGCAGAAGTGGTGCAAGCTTGGAAATGCTTGGATGCTTGTCTTGCTGGGGGGATCTGACCCCAGCTGACTTTTTGCCCCTTGGGCAGGGGGCTGGACCCAATGATCTTGCGAGGTCCCTTCCAGCCTTAATGTCTATGAAATCTATTAAATCTATGAGAACAGTGAGCTCCGGCATTATAAGTGAACTGGCTAAGTTTGCTGATGACACCAAACTATGGGGAAGTGCAGCCATTTTAGAGTATAGGTTGGCAATCCAGGCCGATGTCAACAGGCTTACAGGTGGGCAGATCAAAACCTGATGGCATTCAATGCCAAGAAATGCAAGGTGCTCCACCTTGGGAGAAACAACCACACCACACTTATAGGCTTGACAGTACTACGTTAGCTAGCACTGCATCTGAAAGAGACTTGGGGGTCATGACTGACCACAAGATGAACGTGAGCCACCAATGCAATGCCACAGCTGGCAAAGCAAACAAAACTCTGGCCTGCATCTTCCGATGCATCTCAAACAAGACCCAGGAAGTCATCCTCCCACTTTACTCAGCCTTGGTGAGACCACAGCTGGAATGCTGTGTCCAGTTCTGGACTGTGCAATTCAGAAAAAGATGTGGAGACACTCAAGAGAGTCCAGAGGAGAGCTACGTGAATGATTGGAAGACAAGAGAGCAGGTCTTATGAGGAGAGGCTGAGAGACATGGGGCTCTTCAGCCTGGAAAAGCGTAGACTCAGGGGTGACTTGATGGCAGCCTATAAGTATATAAATAAGGAGTGTGCATCAGGAACTGGAAGAATGTCTGCTCATCAGGGCACCCCATGGGAAGACTAGGTCCAACAGTCACAAACCCTTGGAAGACTGTTTTAGGCTGGACATAAGGAAAAACTTCTTTACTGTCCAAGTCCCCAGGGCCTGGAATAGACCCCCGCACCCGCCCCACCGCCCCCGCAGGTGAAGCAGGCACCTACTCTGGATTCCTTTAAGATACACTTGGATGCCTATCTTGCTGGGATCATTTGTCCCCTGCTGACTGCCTGCCCTTTGGGCAGGGGACTAGACCCAATGATTTTGCAAGGTCCCTTCCAGCCCTAATGTCCATGTCTATGGTAGTTTGTGGGATAGAAACAGAGGCGGGGTGGGTAGGGCTAGGCTGCCCGCCCCACCCTGGTTCTTCTAAAATCCCAAATTTTCCTGATAGTCCTGGGGAGACACCAGGCCATAGAATGTGCTTCCAGTCCTGCTGAGAGCCTCCTCTCTGTTATTAACTGTTTATTCCCTTGAAGAAGGATCTGAGAGACCAAACTGACCAAGCTCAAGTAGTTTATTGATTGGGCCTTTAACAAACCATCATCAGCCAGTATGACATAAAGCCATGGCTTGCCCACCCTGCAGGAAAACTTTGGTACAGTGGCTACAGCACTTCACCAAAAAAGTTTGTCCTGGTTATTAACCCCACCTATCCCTTTCCCCAGCTTCTAGACAATGTTTCTGAGTTCTATCTCACATTAAATGCTTCCTTTTCTCTCACCCTCCATGCATACTTCACTGGAAGCAGTTACAAGGACTTCCTCAAGGCTCTCCTCATCTGCCTGTTCTGCACAGACAATGCCATGAATTGGCCTTTTTGGTCAGCATGGGTGTTACCCCAAAATTTTAGATCTGGGAACCAATGGGGTGTTGAGACAAAGAATGCACAAGAGACAGGAGTTTCCGTTCCACTAATGTAGGTTTATTTAGCAGATTGCACACATACTCTTCTACTAAGAAATGCACTAGTTACCTTGCTAGCAAGTTTTGTTCCCTATCCTGCTTATCAGACAGTCCAGGGTCTTGCTGGGATGTTCAAGGGAGCAGTCCAGTCTCCAGCAGTCCAGCAGTCCAATGACCCTTTGTTTCCAAACTTTTTACACTTTGTGTTACTTGCATATTCATTATTCCT